AGGACAACAGTTTTGTCTTACGCAAGTTGACAGCAGGAGTCAAATGGTTCAAAACGAGTAAGGATGTCACCAGGGTGTGTAGACCCGCACATGTCAGTGGATTTAAACTCAAGAAAATGACGTGCCGGTTTGCGTTCGCGTGTCAACCAGACGGGCGGTTGGTCTCAACACACACGTTCCTTGAACAATTTAACAATGTCTTGGGGGATTGTGTACATGACGGAGAATATCCTTTCGCAGAAGACAAATTGTGTGGCTGTTTCATAATCTCATCAGAGTTGCTCGTGCGGTATTGTTTGGATTACCTCGGGTTCAGAAAGTCGCCAGCAGTTCTGTCCTCTGCTCTACTCAGCATACAGACTTTAAAAAGGTCAGGATGGCGCTGTGGTATTTTCAAAGTTCTTGCAACTGGAGTTTATTGTGTTATTTAACGATGCTGCAACAAATGCGTAAGTTTTAGTATGAAAACCCAATGTTGTACAGGCTGTTTATGCTTGCGGTCATGAAGTAGACGAGAAATACGTATAAATGAGATGTCTGTGTTCTGGCATGTTGCACCATGTACTCTTTTAGATATTGACTGACGTCTTTGATAAGTCTGTTTATCGCCTTGATTATGAAATATTAAACTACTCTGAAACGTTGGTTAGTGTCTACCAGTAGTGTCTGTCAGTATCTACTAGACTAAAAGCTGTCACGTACCACAAGACAGCCATTTTCGCCTTGAGAACAGCGAATATAATATTACTAAATAAGATATTGTAATATTATCTCTGAAAGGAAGGGAGGATTTGGGTCTGAAAGAAGTGTCAGAGTAGGAGGGTGTAGGCTGGATTTATCTAGCCTAGGACAGATGTTTGACGGGCTGCTGTGAGCGCAGAAATTTATATTTAAATTTCTTAAAACACAGGGAATTTCTTGACCCGGAGAGTGACTATCAGCTTCTCAAGTACTATGTTGTATGGAGACAGGTATAATAAACGGCGGATTGAGGGGGGCGGAAAAATATAAGAAACACTAATAACATATTTTAAGCCCCATCCTTTTAAATGAGATAACTTTGGAAACCATTTGACAGGTTATGAGGCCAAAGTTCGAAATGGGTATCTCATAAATTTAGGTCATATATGTTATAAGAAGTTTAATTTGCTTAGTGCAATTACTTCTTGTGCTTGTGACAGAATATGTAAGTAGAATTGAACCTATGTGACCTAATGTATATAGGGCTATATATTACCTCTAGACCAGCAAATGTGACTCGTCCATCCTACGTCATTACGTTAAAATCGATTGATGTGGCTTACTGAACGCTGTATAACCCGAGAAGACGAAGGACCGTTGTTGAACGAAACGGAAATGAAGAAGCCAGAATTAAATGTAGGGATTGAAAGGGCGGATGGGCGGTTTACACAATATTTGTGCTCACTGGTTGAGTGGTAAAGCGTGCAGACAGCGAACTGGAGACAGTTGATGGGAACATAAATGTAGTAACTACGAGTTACGACTGGAAGTAATATTTCGAAAAAGTCCAGTGCTGGCCCAGAGCAAACATTTTCTGATAGAGCGCTGGAAAAAAAAAACCCAAAAAAGACAACAAGTCTTGGTCAGAAACTTTAGCCCAACAGGGACCTTTTGAATTTGAGATAGAGTTTAGCAAAAATGCTTGGCTACCGTAAAATAAAAAAATATGCTTATGCTTTAAAAGCCAAAGTTTTTATTTGTGTTAAGATAAATATTTGAAAGAAAATGATATTTAGAACCAAGTGTGGCTTGTAACTCAATAAGAGTCAGATTTATTCATTCAAAACTGATCACAATTATAGAGCTCACTGCGTATAAATTCATATGTGCAATAGTGATGTAAAATAATTGTCATAGTCCGGTTGATTCCATAAATATGTGCATAGGTTGATAAAGATCTATCAATTTTATTCATACACATCACAGTTTATATTATAAAGCGCCAATGTTAGTTTTAAATGTTGTGTTTTACTTATCAACCTTTCTTCACTTGTGCATATACTAGGCTGAAAATCCTCAACATCGAGTCCGACGTGAAATATAAGCCCCAAAATATCAGAATGAATCCTTTAAACTTAGTTAACTAGAGGACAATAAATGTGCCTTGAAAACCTGCGTATAGGCCTACATTCTACAATGATGAAAATCAGAATATAGTAACATGACAATACAAGGTGTATCAAAAATTCAACTTCACACTTCCCAGAATTAGAAATTTTAAAAGTGAATAATATTATTTAAGACTTTGCGAAAATAAATTTTCACACGTAGACTACATGCGGATGTGTAACATTTTTTAAGGCTCGCGAATATTACTCGAAATTTTTTCGATTACTTGAATATTTAACAAAATAAACGTCTCAAAATCTTCGGTGCACTCGTAGATTAGAATGTCCAGTACAATGTGAGGGTGTGGACTGCATTAATCTGACTAAGAATGTGGTCCGGTGGCGTGCTCTAACGAACATGTATGGAGTCGTCCTTAAAAAGCTTGTAATCTCCCAGCTAGTCAAAAAATCCCTCGCCCTTCATGGGCCCTGAGGTGTTTTTTAAAATAATATACTAATAGACTGTATTTTGAGCCAGTTTAATCAGTCCCCTCCCTGAAGTCCTAGCTTTTTAAAATACGTTTTAATATTATTTTCATACAGACGCTGAGGTTTTCTAATAGATCTCTTGCCTTAATGAATAAAATTTCCCGTCCTTCTTATCCTTCTTGAGTAGATTGTCTTAACAATATCTGCTTAAGAGTACGCATTATGAAGCTCATCTGTGTCTACCCCTTCTCTGTTTTCACGAGGCTTCGCAACGTATTATATTTTAATTAGTCTTGTTCTTTACAAAGCCGGTGGATACTCCAGTACTGTGACTTCGGTAACGTTGTTCTTTACCATTCTGTGGCGCAAACAATGCTGTGTAAGTCAGCGGATGTAAGCAGCTAAGCCTGCCCTCGACAGAAGGAGAGCAGGGTCTACGGCCTCAGAATAAGCTTAGCCCAGAACAAGGTAAGCCCACAGGAGATTGCACGAACCTTTGGTATTTCTCTCCTCTCTGACGAGTTTCACAGTTCTCTGGAATCGCTTCGGGTAGTTTTACGATATTAGTTTCAAGTAGGTTACACAATTATAATAATTTAAAATCTCGCCTTCACTGCTCCCACGTAGTCTTCTCTTTGGAGAAAGTTTTGTTTTAATGCACAACGGTTCGTAAGATCGTATATTTATTTTAACTCTTTACATATTTTATACTACTACTATTGTGATATGATGAGCCGGGATAGCTCAGTCAGTATAGTGACTAGCTATGGGCTGAACGACCGGGATTCGATCCCCGAAGAGGGGGGGGGAGAGGATTTTTCCTCTAGCCTCTGCGTCTAGACCGGCTCTGGGGCCCACCCAGCCTCCTCCACAATGGGTACCGGGGTCCTTTCCCGGGGGTAAAGCCGGCCGGGGCGTGATGCTGACCACTCACCCCCATCTAGTGCCGAGGTCAAGAATGAGTAGGAGCTACTTTACTTTTACTATTGTGATACGTTTCTATCTATCTTCTGATTTGAACCTTAGAAGAAGCCTGTAAAAGGTGAGATTTCAGGTTCTCGTGGTGGCAAGTATAAAGATGGATGATGTCTGGATTGTTGCATTGTGTAGTCTGGTAGATCGCCCTGATGATGGAGGTGGCAAGTCCCTCTGTAAAGTCAGTAAACTAATACTTAAACAAACATGATTTTAGAAATATATTGTGTTTGTTAAAGAAATGTTTCATTGTCTTTCAACTGTTTTTTCTGGATAGCATTCCTCTTTCGTGTTACGGAGGTGCCGAACTCATATTTTTACCCTACTTTCAACTATTCTGATAGATTTTTCATAATTCAGACAAATGGTATGCTAAACCAGGCCACGATCGGTTCGCTGTACATTCGTTCAAATTGATTAACTTCTGATAGTCTAGCATTCGACGCTACATAATCTGGATTTGTTAACTACGTAGTTAAGTGAATCATAAATCTACATTCTATAAAATAGTCTGATATCTGTGTCCTCGCTGCACTCACGGAGATATGAAAGATCTAACAAATGCCGCTATTTTACAAGCGATTTTCTTTAGGCAGCTTTTAGTATGCAAAAGGCTGATACTTTGTATTGTAATAATTTGGAAGAGACAAGAATGGAAATAGGGGAGCAAACAGGGGGAGACGAGAAGAAGAAAATGGATAATGGATGAACAAACTAAAACAGTGACTCTTCGATTAATGCAGACTTTTTCAGCTAGTAATGAATAATATTCTTCATCAGTTTTGAAACAATCATTTTCGACGTAGAATATTAAAAGAAAACCATAATACCGGCGGTGAAACAGCATTCTGAAATATTGTAATTTTTAATTATATTTATTGTCTACATAAATCAAACTTCATTTAATGGTTCGCCGAGTTAATGGTGATTTTACCTTCGCAGTGCACCGTTTAAAATAGTGAAGTCCATTAAACCAACTTATTTAAATGTTACATTTGTGGTATACGCTTTTGGAAGAACGTTGTATCACAGGCGTACTGCCACCATTGGGACTAAGCGAGGGCTGTGTATTTAAAGCTTCGTAATCTGTTTCTTGGTACTACCTTATTTAGCTGCGTTACAAGCGTGATGTAGTGTTATATAATACAAGTAAATTATCACATACTTTGACGCTGTATCTTCTGATAGTTTTTGACGTAAATACGTCTATACGGAAGGGTCATTCGGCAAAAAGGCGTAACGAAGGTGTGTAACGAAAATGTGAAAGATCAATATCAACATTGTGTAAATATGGACCGACAACAATGGTCATCTTGTATGCATTGTTATGTTATCTAGGAAACGTCATCTGTTTACTCGACATTGTTGTGTTTCATTACTGCCGTCAACAATCCGAGTTCGTTATTGAGGAAAGAGCTGAGCTGTGAATCGCTTGTAGAAGAAGTGCGTCGTAGACAAGAAAATTTTGTGCTGTAAAAAACTTTTTAGAATATCACAAGTACTTATCTTATATAAGAATTATTACATTACATTTCATTTCATTACATCACAGAGACGTATTTACGTCAGATTCTCCGGAACCGTGGTTCCACTGTCAAATTTTTTTATCGGTCAGATAGTTCACTCAGCGAAACGAATGGCTGCATTGTGGAGTACCGAAAATGTATTTCGGGCAGTGGCACTAGCTATTCCCTTTGTCACCGCGTCCAAGCCGGCTTTGGAACTTATACAGTTATTTGTCCAATTGGTACCGAGCATCAACTGGACCACTCACTTCCATCTAGTGCCGAGTGCGAGAAGTTACATCTCCACTGTCCTATTCGTCTTCGATATTGATACATAATCACGACAATTTTAATATTTTGTGGGGTAACGATTAGTAGATATTGTGTGGGTGATGAAGTTTTTATAAGACATTTGCACAGCGGTCCATTTGAATTCGTACCCAGTACATATCCTGTGGAATTTCACCAAGTTTGGTTCATTTCTAAGGGATTGTGTTTACCCAGATCTCTGGATCTGACGTCCTATCGATTTATTGTTTGGCTTGTCAAAGGAAAACAATTCTAGCAAAACAATTTAAGAAGCTCACGGAACTTGGTGTTTTTTTAAGTGCCATCGGCAGTAGCACGAAGGAAACTGTTGCGTGCATTTCGGAATAAGGTCAAGGGGATTAATGCATGTATTCAGAACAAAGACGAACACTTCCTCTGTGTTTTCTGAACATGCATATGCATGTGTATTGTTCATTGAGGTAGAATACGATGCTTTATACTTGGGTGCAATTTTAAAGTGCAGTCACTACACATTTAGGCAAGGAAAACAAACATGAAATGAGTGGGGCGTAAGTATGTGGGATTTGAGGTTTTCACGACGGTGAACCCGAAGATGGATGCCTTCCGGGTTGTTGCGCCGTGTAGTCTGGTAGAAGATTTAAAAACTTTCCAGAGGTCGACGTAGTTCAATCTTGGCTTCTGTCTGTCATAAACCCTACTTTTACATGAGTTTTAAATCGAACTTAATCGATATATCTAGAAGAAATTGATCGAACTATAAATCCATATTGTTTATTATTTAAAATATTATGTTTTTAACAATATAAAACATTTCAGCTTTCAATGTGGAGAATGAATGACGAATTACAAGACACGTATTCCCTAGCTGTTACGTGGTGTGAATAATTCTGCATTAAAATCGAGTCTGAGTAACTTCTGCAGCGCTTTTTGGTTTCCTGAGTCTTCGTATCAAACTTCTGCATATAGTTTTCATGTGCCCGAGTGTGTAAAATGTTTTGCCCATGTTATCCTATTTGATTTGATCACCTTAATAAAATTTACTGATATCAGAATTACAACATCGAAAATAAATATGACACATCAAATCATAGATTGAGTAATGTATACGATATGAACCTAACTGAAAAATTTAAAACTGCTTTGCGAAATCTACTGTGTTGATAGTCATTTGTAACTTGCGCAACTTCAACACGAAGCAACGAATAATGTTTACTGTTCAAACTAATTCATGAAGAGAAATGTTAAAAATAGAGTTTTGTACATGTAAGTTAGAATTAAACTGACGTAAAATATTTTCTAGTTCAGCAGATCATATTAGTTTTTAGTTCTTTTGAAACGAGAGTATTGTGAAATTAAATAATATTTTTAAGGTACAATTATTGGCATGTTACTATGTGATTAAGGCGTTGATAGCTGATGGTTATGATTAAGGATATTGGTAATTAAACAGGGTACATGAAATTACTCTTAAATAAGTTAACTTATTGGTAACCGTTATGCCATAACCAGGAGAGATCATCGGCCATGTCATTAAAATATTAAATCGTCCTTAGTAATCGACTTTAGTTGTTGAGTGCAGCCTATTTATTTTTACAATAAGAAACTAAAACTCTTGCATCTTTAATGGGCATTGAAAGCTCTTAGAAGTAATTTACGACACATTTTGCGCATCGTTGATGATTCTGTGACACGATTATCTATGAAATTTGTAAGCTTATGAACATCAGTGAGCACAGAGTCGGCATATACAATTATTAGTAAACGAAAATTAAATTAAAATTCACAGATGTCAGTGGCACGTGGTTACCAGAACATTTAAATTAATAGGCGACACAAATCGAATTTCATACGACAGGGTACTTTGAGTGCATTTGAAGAAGCGTGGTGTACGGTTCATTCCATTTTTTAAAAATATTTTTATGTTCCTCGGTTTGTTAACTCTAACTGTCCCCATCGAAGAGGCTAATTATAGTGGTTCATAAAATAAACACGAGATGTCAACTCTTTCGTTATCGTGGGGGAACAAAGGGTAGAATGATGCATTTACCATGAACTTTGGCACAGATATGCAGAATAGGTACCTAACATTCCTTAAATTCTGGTAAGAAGTTCTTTGTTCATTTAACTTAACGCGGGCAGGGCAACGACTGGCAAGAAATTCCCTTGAATTTATAAAGGGACGAAACAATGAACCGTGGGTTATAATAACCCATAAAGTTATATACTGACGATGGGAACAATGGTGTCATATAATTACATGTATGCATGCATAGGTCTGTTGCAGATAAATATGCTTTTCTGCTTGTAGTTTGAATAAATTTCGTGAAAACACTATTTTAATTCGAAACAATCGAATCTTAGTTGGAGGTTTATCAAGCATTTCGCTGTTTTCCGAACAAGTTATGCTTCTTTTCATGTCGTTACATCTTCATTTAGCTGTTCAGCATATCCCGTATTTTGATTTAATATCTTCTTTTTCCGGCTTTTATGGAAGTTTTTCATTATCAGTCATCTAAGAATTCCTGTCTTCCTAACAAACTTTCCACATGTCGAAACAATCAACAAAAGTGCACGATGAACTGGATCTTTGATAAGACGTTTCCACGGCATCATATGTTATTTACTGGACCTGAGATTTTTCTTTCTACAGTCACGGACTATTTTGACATCAAAAACGATATTGGACAATAGACTATACCGTTTCGTAATATTTAATAAGCATAATATGTCTGCAGAACTTACCGTTTTATTTGGCACGTCCAGTCTTAGCTTAATTGGCAGGGTAGTAATTTTAGATACACTGAAATGTTCTGGGGTCAATAGAATCGTAACGTATTATATGGAATGTATTGTTTTTTATGTTCATATCATCGTGAGACTGTACCATAAGTAAAGTAAGGCATTTCCGCTACACGCCATGTAAGTCGCTTAACCTACTTAAAAGTTTGTAGCGACATAATCAGAGATTAAACTGCAAACGAGCCAGGAAATTTTAAGAATTCATGCCACGTTTCTTGAACATAATGCCGTCCTGTCTCTTTTTATTCAGTGTTCTTTATTACAATTCGAATTGCAGTATTCTGTTAATAACTGAACTCAAAAACTCGATTACGTTATTGCTTTAGTATGGGTTTTTCGTGGGTCGTGGTACCTTGCTAATTGAATGTAACTAGGGGTAACTTCCTCTTCCGTTGCATTATCATGATTCTCCTCTCACACTCCGTATAAAACAAAGAAAACAAAGTTCCTCTTTACCTAAACCCGATGTCTCCCGGTTGGGAGGCGCCCGTTGGCTCCAAGCGTCTCTGCAGTGTGGCGCCACGCCCTCTTCATGATAAGTAATTGTTCTCAAACAGAAAGACAGCTAATTGAATGCAACCTACTTCTGGATGAATATTTGGTTTGGCTCGGAGATCCTGTTCGCTCGCTCGCATGTTGTAATATAATGTACCTGCTGTGCTGTTGTTTCATAATGCAGCAGGCTGAATTTTAGAGCAGCTAATTAAGTCACTGACAAATAATAATAATTCAATTAAATTAATTTATAATAATAATAATAATAATAATAATAATAATAAGGAAATGTAATTAAGGAGGAAACGGAGATCTTGAAATACAACGAATGTGGAAAGTTAACGGAAAAGTAATTAAAATTATTGTAGGAGCAACTGGAACTGTCTTAAAGTCACAAAAAATATTTGGCCAACATCCCGTGCGATACGGCTTTAGGGAACTTCAGAAAACCATTCTACGAACATCATACATCATTCACAAAACGCTCATATAAAATATACAAGCGAAATCTGTTTAATGCATGTAACGTATTAAAAAACAACATGTATTTTAGAAATAGCTGCTGCATTATCTATCTCAGAGGCAAGATTTTTCTCAGGTACATAGAACTAAATACCCTGTAAAATGGAGAATAGATGTAATAATACTAATAATAGCCAATTATGAAGTATTATATTTCGATCTCTTTTTGCTCCAAAATTTGTTTTTTTGTCATAATTTCGTTGATCCTCCTCTGGGACGGTAAACGGTCTTGGTCGATTCGTTCTGTATGTGACAGTTATAGATTTATACGTAGTTGAATTTGACATTTAAGTTATAAATCTGACGTTTTTCTCCTCTATCTTCATTTCTCATTGTACTCAAAAGAAAATAAACTTTCACATATCTGAGTAATGTGATCTGACTCTCTGTAGGTGATTTGTCTGTCATTGTCCATATTTCGTTGTCATAAATTAACGTCATTCTCGCATAACCATGATGTTAGTTTTCACAAACGAATGCGAGATAAAATATTTATTCATAACATCCATACGCACGTCAACTTACTCTTCTTGTGATACGTCATTGTGTGCAATTGACATACGTATTGTACTCGTACATCAGATATAGACGTCGAAACAAAATCCACTAAAGGCTGTTAATTCTTTGTATGCTTAGGTTTTATTTCCCTTATTTATCATGAAGCGATAGGTCTCTGACCACAATGTCCATGTGTATGTGATTCCACAATAATATACAACGTAATTAAAGAATTGTGATCATGGTTCCCGTATGAAAATTTTGTCTGTGAACGCTAAATCTGTGTTCGTATTTCCTGCCACCTGTAGCTAATGTGAACTTCTGAAAGGGACCACATGCTCCTCTGTAAATGTCTGTTCCCATATTTCTTATTCCATACTATTAATGGAATTGCGAGTATATATGGTACCTGTTGCCAATGAAGATGTTAGGCGAAATTCTTCTCGATTGGTATCGGTCCAACAAATTACAATATTTTACATAAAGATGAGTGTCTTCTGGGTTGTTGCCCCGTGCAGTTTGGTAGAAGTTTACCGATGTTTCAGAGATCCTTGCTGCCTCCATCATCAGGGCGATGAGTAAAAAGTGTAAAATATAATAAAACATGGGTCTAAAGAGAACACACGTTTGGAGACTAAACGAGTGTTAACAGCTTTGTGCAGCCAACAATACATAGTATAGTATTGAAACGTTTGATATGTGTGTGTGGTGATTCGACGTTGTCATCACTGAGATCATTTTCTGACGAACAGATTGCCTTGTGGTCGGTCAGGTTAAGTGACCATCGTTAATTGCACGACAGATCTTGTGTTAATCGGCTATTTCAAGTCTCTTTAGTTTTTTTCCTTCTTCATGCGTGTTTTTGTTTGGAGGTTGCACCTGCAAATATTAATTGGTAAGTAACTGCTATTTATTATATCGAAATTTTTGCGTCGTGGGCTGTTAACCATGAAATTTCGCAAAATATTGTCCCGAATTTGTTACATTTTCTAAACTGAAAGCGTGAAAAATTAAATTGTAACGTGTATTTCTTTTAGACACATTTTATGTACTAAATTGTACTAAATCAAAAATCACACACACACACACACACACACACACACACACATATATATATATATTATTGATTTGCCGCCGTGAAAATCTTAAATCCTGCATAATTCAGTGGGGTTTCCGGATTGCCAGTCTTCAGTTTTAAACTTTGAAGGGGGCACTGTTAATAGTTGATTTTAAACTAAACAATTTGTTGTAAAAGAAGAATTGATACAAGTCAAGCAGGTTCGTCGTTAATTACATAGAATGGGAGTATAACTTAAGTAATTCGTCGTGAACTTTAGCAGTTTGTCAGATAGTTTAATTATGTGGTTTTGGTTCTGAATGTGGTAGCGACACCCTAAACAATGAATTATAAATTATAAAATTTGGTATTGTAGAGAAGGTTAATGGTTCCGCGTGTATGACGGTGCTATGTTGAATTCTGAGTCATATTCTGTGTAATTTATAATGGGCAAATGAATGTGATGCTTCGAGATTTCGTTAGCCCCGTCACGCTAATTCATTTTACAGTCTTTTGTTACTGCTTTAATGTCGTCGTCTGCATTATTTCTCTGAATATTGTCCAAGCGGTACTAAGTAAACTTGAATCCCAAGTCTCCGGCAAGTGCACCACAGCGTTTTTAATCTGAACTTGATATGTCACGTCTCCTGTTCAGGAAACACCTGAAACCCCAGCCTTCGTTACGATCAGGCCTTGTTTTCTTACTTACTCGTTACAAA